GCTCTGGCTCACGAGGTTTCTCGGAATTCCTGGAAATTGTTGGAAGTGTTGGTTTTACCAACATTTTCCGTGAGCCAATCATGGAAATTGTTGGAATTGTTGGCTTTACCAACATTTTCCGTGAGCCAATCATGGAAATTGTTGGTTTTACCAACAATTTCCATGATGCTGAATGATTTCGCTTTTCGGGGCAGCCCACGGAAACTGCTAATGCTCATAATGTTTACCCGCGCCGCTTCCAACGACCCCATTGGTGCTCATGATGCTCGTCCGAAACTTGCGATGAGCACATCTTATGTACTCATGCGATGTGTGCTTGCAAAATGGGCCGGTAGGCTATTCGCATCCCTGATTAAGCTCAGTAGTTTGTCACTAGGAAATAATCTCTGCTTGAAGATGTTACTATGCGAACACCAGTTTAGGTGTTTTTTGAGCTTATCAGGGACAGAGCTATACAACATGTCTACGGTTCGAGACCTAACTATAGATGCCTATGTTGGTTTAATCACACACTTCCTAAGATACATGCATAAGGTGTTTACTTATGTCATTGCTTTTTTGGTGTGGCTTTATTTGCTGAAAAAACACCCTCTCTCAAACGACTAGTATTTGCACCAGAATTCTGTCATACAACATTGTCAAATGGTCATCATTTGCTAGGTGCAAAATTTCGAAACGAAAAGTCTACGAATCCTAGCCCGACCAATAAATGCACAGGATTTAGATTATGCACACAGTTAAGATGAACTAAACTTAAACTACATATGTCGAAATGAACCGGACCTTAAAAAAGAAATCTAGCAACGTCGACTAATAAACAACGGAACATAGAACTTACACTGTACTGCGCAGCCACTGCATGTTGTATTATGTTTGACTTGGGGCACTACCTGTAACATTCCGTTCTCAACAGTTCAGAAACAAGCAAACGTGTTATTTGATTAACCATCATCCCACCAAGAGGTCTCATAAGCAAAGGTGTGAATGTTCAAAAGGTACTTAATTGTAGGTTGGTACTCATGAAAATGTACAAACACAGGACTCAGCAAGTTGTACGTTTTCTATTGTACGCGTGGTATTATTAAGCAAAGTTTCTGAAAAAGCATACGAAGTACTCTGAATGAAAAATCACAACAGTAGTTGACACAGTGAATCTTGATTCAGCAATGATCAGAAACCGGGATGTAAGCGGGTCGCGAACTGCTACCATTGTTGCTATTGACTGCGGCTTTGACAGATGCGCATGAGTCATTGTGCAGTGCATGGTGCGAAGACTAAAGGTTTTAACAGGTATAATGACACTATCTCACACTACGGCTTATTCCAAGGAACTCACTGATTAAGTCGTGTCCCAGACTGCAAAACCACAAACAACACCCACGCTGTTGTGTAGAAACAAGTGGACGTTCAATGAACGTGTGTGTCTATAAACTATAACGGCAGTCAACTAAACATAGCCACCATCCACCTTGATACGAAATCTGTCATAGTTGACTCATGTTTGCGAAACGTGCCGCATCCAGACAAGCCCGCTTAGCTTAGCCAAGCAAGAGCATAACCACGAAAGCAACCCGTCAGGTTTCGCTTGACACAGATTGTTGAGACAGCATCCACGGTACCCCCCAATAAGCAATGCATAAAGTTTCTTGGCTTCGTGTGTACATGCACGGTACCCCCCCCCAATACGCAATGCATAAAGTTTCTTGGCTTCCTGTGTCGATTCATTCACACATAAGCCCGTTTGAACAACACATAAGCACAAACACGAAAACCTAGGTACCTGAGCGGGGAGGGGGGTAGCATATATATATATATATATGTATGTGTGGTTGCGCCCATATATATATATATATATCTACATATTTATTCATGTATTTATTCGTTTATTTATCTGTATACACCTTGTTTGAGGCCCAAGCTTTTATCCCTGAAGCCTTACAGTCCTAAATCCTCAACCCCTAAATCCCTGCGGATTGGGAGGCAACAAAAGGACCCTAAATCCATAGACCCTATTAAAACCAAACCCATAGTCCCTTTAACGGGACAGTACGCTTTTTTGACTTTTTTCCAAAAGCACGGACAAAAATGAACCAGCATCGACTGCAGACCTTGCCCGGCTTTGTCCGAGAGTGAGCGTTAAAAAGCCCTGACAAAAAAAAACACAACACCCTAAAGCCTAAACCCCTAAACCCTAGGCCCTAAACCTGAAGTGTACCTGTGACCCCAAACCCTACAAAATAGTAGGTTATGCCCCCTTAATTAGAGGACAGAACCTTTAAAACCGTAAGTTTTTGGATCCCCAGGTAAACCCTAAAGAACCAGGACAGCGACAATCAGCTTCAAGGAGTTTCTGATCTTGGCCCGGCGAACGCGCGAGGTCGGCACCCAAGCTTTTCAGGCCTTTCGGGGTGGTTTCTAGTGGAATTTTAGGGTTTAGGGGTTACAGGCCCAGGGGTTTAGTGTGGATGGGGATTTAAAGTTTGAGTTTAGGGTGTTTTTGCCCCCGGGTTTGGGTTTCTGGCCGTAGGGTTTCACTGAAAGGGGCTTGGAGAGGGCTTCGATGTCTTTAAAAATCAACGCCCCAAAACCCTATTCTAATTATCAGGGTCCCTACATTGGGTTTGGGAGTTGGGGGTTTGCTGCTGAGCTTCGAGTCGAGGCTGTAGGGTGCAGGAGCTGGCCTCGGGGACAGAGCCTACTCCCAAGCCCAGCAGGTGCCAACCCAAAAATGCCCATATCGAAGCCCCGAAAAACGGAAGCAGCTCTTCAACCCTATGCATTCTCTGGGAGCCAGAAGTGTTACATTCCTAGTAGGAATCCTTAACATTCCTAAACCCTAGCTGTCTCCCTTTGACATGCCTTCCTCTGCCTTAGATGGAGATGCTGCAACTCTCCAAGGAGATGCCAGGCACAGCTCTTGAGTCCCTAAGTCTAAAACCAGAACCCCTGCAATCATTGGCCTCTGTCTCCCAGAGATGCGATGTGCAGAGTTTCGATTGTGCGGTCGTAGTTGGTGGGATGCTGCTTGTTTGCCCTTTCCCTCGTGGAAACAACCACTTCTATATGAGAAGTTCATTCTGTTGGCAGTTATGATCGCTGACCCGAACATTGGCGAGATCATGAATCAAACCCTGAACCATGTTCTAATTTTCATCATGTCCCTGTCTCACGGAAGATACTTGCCACAGGCATGCTCAATACGCCTTCCACGGTAGCGATCTCAGCCGGCTGCTTCTGCAATAGTGCAAGGACTGACGAACCTAGGTGTCACTCTACTGCAATTCCCTGATAATGCAGTACGCCTCCTCGGCCACTGCACCGAGCGAGCTGCAACCCTAATATTGCAAGGATCCTTCATGTTATTCAGCGGGGGTATACCCGCACCAACTGGCCTCCCACCGTCCTAGAGCCATGAGTCGGGCAGGTCAAGCCTGGTTATAGTCTATTCCGTGTATGTTTTCCATTTCGGTGCATGCCAAATGTTTCGGCGACGGCAAGATCGGACAGCAGGGAGGCTTGGGTGAGATGTCTTTGCAAGGTCTTTTCGACTGTATCCGCTTGTTGTGCTCCACTGTCCCACCCTCTACGACGTGAACATGACGATGCATCTCAAGTACAGCCGGCAGCCTGCTAGGGTTTGAGCCAAAACTTGGCGATCAAAAACAAGAGTCCAGGAACGTAGCTGTGTGCGTCAGGTCGAGGCAGCGAAAATTCCGACTCCATTAAGCAGAAAGCAGCAACGGCCCTTCCTGTTCTCGAATCCAGACCACACCGAAGCGACAGTTGCAAAGTGGGACCTTCATATCTACCCCCACAGCAGAAACAGCACTACACCCTCGACCTACATGCGGCCCATTGTGAGAGTGGAAGTACCGCGCCCAAGGTAGTGTGGCTTTTCAGCACTCGTACTCAGACAGCGGTATTGCCCAAGCTTGGAGAGTCGAAGTGCAGCTTGTGCTTGTGTTCAATCTCAGATGTTGAGGCCGCCAAGGGTGACTTCGAGAACGCCGTATCTGTGCTTGAACTGGTTGGGTTTAGCGCAATGAGGTGATGTTAGTCTTCAGGATTTTGTGCAGCCTGGTCGAGAAGTATGAGTGTATGTACAGTGTGTCCACAGTACAGTATAGATTGAAAATACTTGTGCGGGCCCACCTAGATGGTGGATCCCCGTCCCTGCCACAGAAGGGAATTGTTAGAACAACGTGCTGTCCATTTTTCTCGAGCTGTCAAAGTTTGGCATCTTTGGTGGTCGAGGAATGTTGCGACAGAAGACGGCATGCTTTACAGGGTCCCGAGCGCATAGACGCAGCAGCATCAAGCAAAGGCATCAATAAGAATAAGCTCAGAGCTCGTAGTTGCCAATGCCTGTCTGAAGAGAATCCGCGGGACTCTCTGGCAACCATCCACACTGCAGGGTAATGTAGTAGTCGCTTATGAAAGCTTGACGAGCATCCAAGGACATTGTCGGGCACTCAGTATGCGCCGGCCTGTGTGAGATCTGAGATATCTGGCTTACCATCTCCCTGCATTGCTTGAGCACACGGCTCTTGTTAGAGCATTCCCTTGATCTAAGTACTTCCGAGATGTTCCGGGCTCGCTCAGAATCGTGCTTGCTGAACTCCATGGGCGGACGATAGTTGACAAGCCGCGCGCGATGTCTTACGAATGCCTGTGTTTCACGCCCAGCTAGCCAGGACGGCAACGGAACCATTTCGGACAAAGAGTTGGTCAAGTTCTTGGAAGGCCCTCTCGGATAGCCGGTCTCCAGACAGCACTCCAGATCTGCTAAACTCGAACCATGGTTCAGATAGTCTGCAAGCAGTCGTCCCTGGGGGGATTCCAATTCTGCATGGTTTGATATGCTTTGCATCCTGATGAGATTGCTTCCGCATGCAGCTGGGGGGCGAAAGCAACCCGTCTTACCTTCAACGCAAATCAGTATGCTGAGCTGGTTTCTGGCCGGTGCTGATCTTCATACCTGATACAGATACAGCACATGCAGCTTAAAAGCTAAGTTGGCTTAGGTGACATCCTGGAGGCATCGAAGTCTCCAGTGATATTCGATACCCCACGAGTGTTTTGGGCGAAGATTTCCTTTTGGCCATGACCTGCACCAGGCAAAGAATTCACACCTCTGAAGAAGGCTGGGCGAGCCGGGTGTCCTTTCGGAAGATTTGGGAACGATCTTTGCTTCAGGCCCTCTCGAACGCTTCCATTTCTTGCAGCGATGGGGCTTCAAAGGCTGTCGAGCGTGGTTCGATCCTTCCGCCGCATGTGAAGCATAATTCGTTTGACCCCTTTCTTCTGAGCCGAAACATCAGCCGTCAACCCACCGTTTCCTGGAAGCCTCTCTTCCTCTCTGCGTCCGGATGATTCATCGGAGAACATTTTTCCTGCTAGGTCGTCCAGGAGGTGCTCATGGAAGTGGCATCGAGCTTGGTGGCAGATATTTGAAGACATGTAAGCCAACCCGCCACACTGAAGCCTGAGTACTTGACAATAGTAGTTTCGCATTCCTTGTGGTTTTCATTATAGCATCAGTTGTAACCTTTCCGTTATATCCCCAAAACCCTGTCCTAAGCCTTAAGGGCTTCTAAATGAGACACGGAGGACTCGAAGCCCAGATACCTCCAAGGCCCATCCCTCGACCACCAAGGCCGCTGAAGCCATCGAAGGAAGAGAAGACCTGGCCAGAGCCTCAAAGCTTTCGGGTTTGGGTTTTAAGTTTCAGGGTGTTGGGTTTAAGTTTTGGGGTTTAGTGTTTGAAAGTTTAGGCTTAGGGTTTAGAGACGGTACCAGAGCCGGTGAGCTGGCAGTCATAACTATTACAATAATGCTGGCACCGAGACAACCGAGTGGATGCAGAGGGTGAAGCGGGTCCTAAGGAACATGGTTGGGTGCTAGGTCCGGCTACCCGGCATCATGAAACCAGAGGCCTCTGATGAGATGCGGTCCAGCGTTCATGGCATCATCTCAAACTGTCATAACCTGCAGCCCTATAGAAGTAAGCAGCTTCGATGGAACATGTACTACGTCGCAAGTAGCGCTCGCGGTCAGAGCTTCCTGAAACGGCATTCCCAAGAATTCCAACTGCCAGTGAGCAACGGTTTCGCTCAGGACTTTAACCAGTTCTTCGATTTCTTGTGCAGCCAGCTCGCTTGCACTCTCCGACGCGACAGGGGCCATCGGGAACTAGGCACAGGTGTATCCAGAGACCCAGGTTTGCTCTTTGCGTCCTCGGCTCGAGACTGTTTGGCCCAAAAGTGGCGATTTTGATCACCTCTTAGCTCTTTGCCCCTCTCGATCCTCCTAGACCATGAGGACCGTTCAAATTGCGGCCGTCGAGCGCGAGGAGCCGATGCCAAGAGTCTCGAGCCCGTGCTCTGTGGCTGATGTGGCTTGCACGAACGACAAGGTCATGCAAGGAGCAGTAACAACAACACGTCGCACGATGAAGATCGCAGGCCTTGCGCTATTTGCTGTGGTCTTTACCTTTGCCTTCTTCGGCTGGCCAACAAATTTGCTCGAAGATGCTGCGACACACCGGGCCGTTCTGGCCGCTCTCTTCATCACAGGCATCACTTTGGTCGCACTGGAAGATGTGCTTCGACTTGACAAGTCTGCCATCATGCTCGTCCTGGCATCAGTCATGTGGACATACCATGCAGCGGGCATCCACGCCAGAACTGTGGAAGGGCACCATCTTCTTGAGGAGGAGCTGATGAAGGGCCTCTTCGAGGTGGGCAGTGTCATCTTGTTCCTGCTGCCCGCGATGTGTGTGGTCGAGTCTATTGACCACATGAACGGTTTCGCCGTCGTCACGGCCTTCATCGTGCGCCACACGCAGGGCAAGCCCGGCCGGCTAATGCCTATTGTTTGTGTCATCGCTTTCTTCTTGAGCGCAGTGATTGACAACCTCACTGCTACAATTGTGTGCATCAAAATCCTGCAGCGCGTGGTCCCTCACAGCCAGGACTGGCGACATAGCTGCGGCGGGGTCGTTGTTGTGGCAGCAAATGCTGGAGGCGCCTGGAGTCCGATCGGCGACGTGACCACCACTATGTTGTGGATCCAACACAAGATCTCCACCGGGGGGATCGTCACTTGGACATTTTTGCCCTCATTCGTGGCTGGCTTCATCCCCTTGTTCGGCATTTGGTGGCAAGCTCGGCGATGTGGACCGAAGCTTCAGGAAGGTTCAACACAGTGTGAAACAGTCGTCCCGAGCCGAAACAGCATCGTCGTTCTAGTCATTGGCTTCGGATGCATCCTCATGGTACCGGTTGTTAAGATGGTCACGGGACTGCCACCCTACTTGGGCATGATGATGGCGCTGGGCTCCTTCTGGCTCGTGACGGAGATCTGCGACCTGGGTGCGGAGGTGGCGGCGAAGGACGAGGAGGCCCCTGAGGACAAGGAGGGCCCGGCACACCACTCCCGAAGGGGAGTGCCGGCGGCGCTGCACAAGGTGGACATCAGCAGTTTGCTCTTCTTCACCGGCGTGCTTCTTGGCGTCGCCGTGTTGGAAGCTGCCGAAGTCCTGAGCCGCTACTCCACCTTCATGCGTCAGGTCACTCTGGACAATGAGCTGCTCCTCTCAGGGCTCCTTGGCATCTCCTCCGCCGTGGTGGACAACGTCCCCCTGGTCCAGGCATCCATTGAAATGTTCGAGGAGCCAGTGGACCATCCTTTGTGGCAGCTTGTCGCTTTGGGTGCTGGCACCGGTGGCTCCATGCTTGCTGTTGGCAGTGTGGCAGGTGTGACGCTCATGGGCTTGGAGGGGGTCGGCTTCCTCTGGTACGCCCGGCGCATTTCCCCTTGGGCTGCCTTGGGCTTCGCACTCGGCCTTGCTACCTTTGCTCTGCAGCAAGAAATCCGTGCCATTGCGTAAATCCCTAGCCTCTTCCA